CGTGTTGACCTAGATGAACTCCGACCGAGCAGCAAGGTACTAGGAGTGGCAGCCCGTGTCAGCCCCGACAAATACGCTTGGGGAGCGGTAGAGCAACGACCCTGGTAGTGGTGGGCGAAGCAGCGTCGGAGATGGAGATGGGGGTGGGAGGGGGCTGTGGGCTGGCTGAGTGGGGGGGCTGGGAGCTGGCTGGGAGGTGGAGCCGGCGCAGCGGTGGCTCACTTGATGAACATTGGCCCGGTGTACAGCCGCGCTCCCCAGAACTCCTCATCGCAGAGCGAGGTGCAGTCCTGCATCGCAAGCTGCTCGTTGACCCGCTGCAAGTCGATCGCGAAGTCAGAGAGCGGGCGGGGCTTGCGGCAAAGGCTGCGCGTGTCCTCCCTCTCGCGCAGCTTGGTGTCCTCGGGCCACGGGTGCTTGCTGCCCGGCCCAAAGTCGGTGTGCTCCGGGTCGACCACGAAGTGATACTCCGTCTTCGCCGTCGTCGTTGTCCCATAGTTGCCCGCGTTGAAGGGGAGCCCGGAATCGGCCGAGTCACAGTGCTCCCGCTTCATCGCCTCCCGCAGCTTGGGGTTGGGCGTCCCGATCAGGCCCTCCAGCCCGCCGAAGAAGGTGTCCAGCCCTCCGTACGACATGGTGAAAGACCCGCCCTCCTGCACGAACTTTGCGTGTAGCTCTGCTCCGGTGGCGCCGCCCGAGGCGATGAGGGTCGACGCGCCGTCCCAAACAGCGTCGGCGATGCGGTCGAGCAGGTGAGGACCAGCCTGGCGGAGGAGCGCGGCCACCGACTCGCGTGAGCCGAGCTTACCTAGCGCGCGCACGAAGGGTAGCGCCAGCGATGCGTCGGCCGAATCGAGCGCCAGTGATGCGTCGGCCGAGATTGGCGAGAGGAGCGCGGCGGCGATGGCGTCGTTCAGCCCGAGTGAGTTTAGCCATTGCCCCATCTGCCACTCCTGGCTCGGGTCGCCCTGTGCCGATGGGGCGGCGAGCCTGGCTTCCGCCACGATCCGAAGTATGTCGGCCGACTGCTCCGCCCGCTGGACATCATGGACCAGCTGCATCGGCCCTCGGGCTTGCTTGCTTGCCGCAGAGCCCATCTCCGCGTCGGCCGCATCGTCCTGCCGCTTCGCTATCGCGTCGTCAAGCTCCGGATTATCTGGCTTCAGCTGCTGTTGCTGCAGCGAGACGGACTTGCTTGAGAGAGAGCCCGGCTTACTTCTGCGGAGCAAGCCCATCCCTCACGGCTCTCGTTCAAGCGCTCTTGAAGTTGAGAAGCTGTCGGGTCTGAGTGTCGGGCGATTGCCGAGCAGCCGCATGAATGACACTGTCACGTCCCGAAAAGAAGAAAAAGTTTTGCGTGTGCCGAGCGAGAGTACTCGCCCGAATTCCGGCGTTTTTCACATTTCTCGTCCTATTACACTATTAGTACCGTGTGCTCTCGAGAGCCGCATCATGGCTTAAGTCTGCGGACTAAAAAAGAAAGAAAACAGACACCTCTAGGGAGGGATGGGAGGACGGCACGCCGCCACCACACAGGGATTTTAAGGAGAGGGGTGTGATGCGCTAGCCGTCGCCCACCCTTGGGCGTCCGCCTCTTCCTATCTCTCTTCGCAGGTCCCTCGACCTGTAAAGAATTTAGACAATGCAGACAGGCTCGACACCTGTAAAGAATTTTCCAATGCAGGGACTTCAAAAAGGGAGAGGTGTGTCCAATGTATGTGGCTCTTACGTACATTCCCGGAGGAGGACTGCTGACAGGGTTTGCGATGAGGAGTGACCCGAAGGGTTTCTCGGGGTTAGTGCACCACTAACCGCCTCTGCAAGAGCACTGCGCCTCAGCGCTCAGCGGGCTCATACTAGCGCCCACCTATTTTCTTCTAGGGTTTGACAAAACTTTTTCTTCCGATGTCCACCCCGCCGCGCCGCTCGCGCCGCTCGCGCCGCTCGCGCCGCCTCGCCACCGCCGCCGCCGCCGCCGCGCCCTCGCCAGACACGCCGCCGCCCGCCCGCCTCCTCGACCTCCCCACCGATAACACGGTTGAATTCTCTTATTCTATGTCGCTGTCGTGGGATCGCTTGTCATGTGAGAGAGTGCGTTGTCTTCTTGAAATAAAGAAAACAGACAACCCAAGGGAGGGATGGGGAGGACCGGACACGGCACCACGTCGCCACGATCACGAGGGAGCAGTCTGCCAGACCCAGCTCGCTCACACGTCACAGCTGGAGAGGGGCCAGCTCAGTGCATGTGCGTGACTGTCCGTGTGCTGTGAAGTGTGATGAAGCTCCTCGCCTCTCGCGCCTGAGAAGGCGTCGGTGAACTGTGTTTCTTTGTTGTTTTTGCTACTTCGTACTTGCAATCACGAGTGTAGGTTCCCCGCGGCCCGCGCCGGATGTATAGAGCTCTACAGCTCTACAGCTCTACACACTACAGCGCTCTACAGCCCTGCAGCTCTACAGCGCTCTACACTCTACATCCTCTACACCCTCCCTCAGGGTGGGTCATGGCGCGGTCATACACTGCTCACCGTAACACTGCCCCCGTCGATCGAGGAGGACTTGCGGTGCTCGCGCAGCGCTCCCGGTTATGTGGGAGAGAGAGATGCCAGGTGCGTCGCAGCTCGCCGAGGCTGCGACGGGTGCGTCTGTCGATCAACAGCGCGAGCCTGGGCGAGAATGGTGCGCGCGAGTGTCGAGACTCGCGCAAGAGGGTGTGTGTGCGCGGGGGTAGTGGTGGTGGGGTTTGGCCGATTGTTTGGGAGACGCCGAGGGGGGTGCGGTGGGACGCCGCGCACCGTCCTGCCTGCGCCGCGTGTCGCCTCCACCGAGACCGCAACGTGAACACCTTCCATGCGTCCATGCACGAGCGCAGCCGCACCGCCGCGCCGGCGCGCAACCGGACGCAATGGCCGACTCCAGACGCGCCAGCGGCGGCCGCATCAGCGGAGGCCCCGACACCGCCGCCAGCCGCCGCGAGCCCGCCGTCGACAGCGCGTCGCAGCTGCTCATTCTCGTGGAGCAGCTCCGACAGCGCATCCCACTCCGCCACGCGAGCCTGACGCGAGGGCACGGACGCGTGTCAAGGGGGCAATTGGTCAGCTGGTCGAGGTGGCCGCTGGTCAAGGGGGCCGCTGGTCAAGGGGGCCCTCCTCCCGATGCCTCCCTCCCGATTCCGACAGGGAGCGAGCGAGCCTGCAGGAAGGCTCGGCCTGCCATACCTCCAGAGTGGTCGAATCCAGTGTGGGTTTAGTCCCGTGGGTGGTGCGGTGGCCTGCGAGAAGGCTCGGCCGTCCACGTGGCCGTCGCCGCCGCGCCCCTCCCTCCCGTCTCGGACCGCTGTCTCGAGTTGCGGCTGCGTCAGTACCTCGACGCTCCCGTCCAGGTACCGCACATGGAAGCGGAGCGCCTGCAGGAAGGCTCCAGGAAGTGTCTAAGAGCTGTCTAGGAGGTGTCGAGGTACCGCACACGGAAGCAGGACGCCTCTGCCGCACCGGCGGCGACGCCGCCACCCTCGCCGCCGACACCCAGCCCGCCGCCGCCGAGCCCTCCGCCGCCCTCGCCTCCGCCGCCGCCGCCGCCGCCTCCAAGAGGCAGCGACAACGTCACCCGGTCCACGACCCTCCCTCGCGACGCGCTTGCACTCTCTCCTTGAGCCACGTCCGCCGGGCCGGCACAGAGAGGCCCGCCGCCCGCTCGAGGGCTGCGCGCATCGCGGCTGCTGCTGCGGCACACCTTTGTGGCGTCGGTCGGGCTGGCGGCTTCCGTCGGGCTGGGCGGCCCACCGCTCGATACGGACGGCCCCTCTTCTAGCCGCAAGGTGGCGGCGCGGCGCGACCGCTCGGCCTGCCTCTGCTCCCGGTGCGACTGCTCGAGCTGCCACTGGCGCTGCTGCAGGAGGGCGAGCCCCCGCCTACCATACCTCCATAGTCTCGAATCCGGTGTGGGTTTAGTCCTGTGGGTGGTGCGGTAGCAGGGTGGCGAGCCCCCGCCTGAGGAGGCTGGAGGAGGCTAGGGTGGGTGGGTGGAAAGGGGCGGGGCCCGCCGCGAGCGGGCAACACCGCGGGCAGCCAGTGAGGCGGCGGCGGCGGCTTGGGGCTGGAGAGGAGTGCGCGCCGCTGCTGCTGCCGCCGCTGCCGTCGCTGAGCTTCGAGGTGCTCGACCCGCCTATCGAACCGTAGGGCGTGAGCACGAGAGCACGCCGTTCCTGCCTTCTGTGCGCGGGCGCCTCTGCGCTCGCAGCACCGCGGCGGTCGCCTCAAGCTGCCGCCGCCAGAGCTCGTGTCGCTGGCTGTCGACACTCGCACTCAAAGATTGCGCCGCCGCCGCCGGCGGCGGCGGCGGCGGCTGTGTGACCGGTTTAGGCGGTGCTGCCGCCCGACTGGCGGCGGCGGCGGCGGTGCGCTCGGCAGCCGCCGCATCACGCCGCACCGCCTCGCGCCGCACGGCAGAGCAGTGGTGCTCTCGGGCAGCAGAGTCTGACGACGCCGTCGAGAGTCCACGCCGCTCGAAGCACCTCGCCTCCGTCGAGGCAGCCCGAGTCCCTCGAAGCTCCCGATAGCGCTCCAACGCCATTTGTTCGGGCGC